TGAGCTAAATCTGTTCAGCCTCATGCAAAGGAGATTAAGGGGGGACCCCAGGTATATAAGATTCTAACAGGTCTCGATGTTTTTCAGCTAAATGGCTACTTTAATATTAGTTTAAATATTAGAACTTGTGGCCATAGATGGAAATTAGTGGGAGAACATTTTAAACTGGATTTGAGAAAGCACTTCTTTACACAGCGTGTAGTCAGAGTATGGAATAGTCTTCCTGCTAGTGTAGTGCAAGCTAAAACCTTGTCATTTAAGCAAGATGTTCCATACTTTTACTATGTGTGAAGTTTGGTCCTGTGGTCCTGTGTGAGCTTGGTCCTTTGCATAATCATGCTATTATTGTTAATCCCTAACTTACTGTACATGATCAATGCTCTGCCACTGTTAATGCTATTGCCAAACCTTAGACATAGCTAATGTGATAATGCTACAAATTACACTTGTTCAAGGTACAAAATGTGGTCAGTATGCACAAATGGTGATTCCTTGTTTATTCTGTATTATTTTCAGAATAATACACCTACCTTCAGTGTTTCATAGTTTACACAGGATCAGTAATTCAATATGTTACAATTATCACCAATGGCTGGGCAACAAAACTGTAATTCTTCAATGACAGAAATTTTGTCTGATTTCTTCTTCTATGTGAAATTAATAAAAAGTTACAAAGTCATTGTTTTTTCTGTCTGTAATTTTAGAAGAAAAACGTGGTTAAAAATGTCAATAGATTTCTTTTCTGCTAATTTTGCTGAGAGCAGGCTGTCCTGTTTGACTGGTTCAAGAGGTAATTTTGCAGCAGACTTACAGACTTGTAAGATGATGGCAAATCCCACATTGTCAGAATACAAGTCAATTTCACATTGTAAATTTGTTAAAAGTTCGGTATGACTTGTCTGAGGTTTGCTTTATTAAAGTCCCCCACTACAATGAGCGCTGCATCCGGGTGTTTGCTTTGAGTCGCACTAAGCACATCATGTAGTTGAGACAAAGCCGTACCTGTGTCCACTTGGGGTGGGATGTACACCACCGTTGTGATGAGTGAGCTGAACTCTCAGGGCATTTGATGGTCAAATATTCCAGATGAGGCGAGCAGGAGCGTGATAGAATGGAGATGCTCTTTGCCTCGTACCACGCAGTGTTCAGAAGAAGAAGATTCCTTTATACACTACATGGACTAAAGAATTGGAGCAGCTGGCCATTACACCTACTGGAACTTTTATGCCATCCCATTCTAAATCCATAAGCATCAATATGGGGTTGGTCCCCCCTTTGCAACTATAACAGCTGCCACTCTTCTGGGAAGGCTTTCCACAAAAGTTTGAAGTGTGTCTGTGGGAATTTTTGCCCATTCACCTAAAAGAGCATTTGTGAGGTCAGGCATTGATAATGGGTGATGGCCTGACTCGCAACCTCCGTTCTAGTTCATCAAAAACATGTTAAATGGGGTTGAGGTCAGGGCTCTGTATGGGCCAGTCAAGTTTTTTCATTCCAAACTCATCCAGCCACATCTTTAGGGACTTTGCTTTGTACACTGGGGCAGAGTCATGCTGGAACAGAAAACGGCCTTCCCCAATCTGTTCCCACAAAGTTGGAAGAATAGAATTGTCCAAAATGTCCTGGCATGCTGAGGCTTTAAGAGTTCCCTTCACTGGAACTACAGGGCCTATCCCAACACCTGAAAAACAACTCCAAACCATTATCTGTCCTCCACCAAACTTTACAGTTTGTACAATGCAGTCAGGCAGGTAACATTTTCCTGGCATCTGCCAAACCTGTAAGGTTCAGCACCTGTCTGTCCCAGTCTTTTGTGTCTCCTCCCCGTTTGGTTAGTACAGGGGTGTCAAACTCCAGTCCTGGGGGGCCGGAGCCCTGTGTAGCTTAGTTCTTTTCTATTCTACCACAAACGATTCAGCTCCAGAGCTGTGTTGTAATTAGCACAAGGAGTTGAATCTGGTGTGTTAAATGAGAGTGAACCAAAAACTGTGTAGGGCTCTGGCCCTCTGGGACTGGAGTTTGACACCCCTGGGTTAGCAGGTGCTGCTGACCACCCTGTCCTCCTTGTTGACCAAGTCCTTAGTGTGTTTCCCCAGCTCCTTGGACTGTTGCATGGCTCTATGGGCTGAGTGTGTGGCTACTAACCCATCAGTTGTGTGTCCAAGTCCACCCAGCTCTGTTTTTGTATTTAGTTCTTTACTGTTTCCTTTGTATTAGTTTTTCTAGTTCCTGAGTTTTCTGTTTTTCATTCTGTTTTAGTTTTTGCTTTGTGCCCTTGGTTTTTTTTTTTTTTACCTGTCTGTTATTTTGTTATATGTGTTTGGATTCTGTTCCCTAGTTTCTGAGCTCCTTGATTTAATTATCAGTTTCACCTGTTGCCCGTTTTGCCAGTGCTTGTTGATTGTTCTGTTCTGTTGCTAGTTCTCCTGTGTCCTGTGTTGATTGGTTAATTGATTATGTCTTACGCCTGTTCCTTGTATGCCCCAGTTTACTTTGTATTTAAGTACCTGATCCTGCTCTGTTCCCCGTCGAGTCATTGACTATGTCTTAATGTATATTAAAGCTGCTAGACGTTAGGATGTTAAGGTACACATATATGATGTTTATGAATGACTTATGAATACTTAATGAATACATTATGAAGGTGCACTGAACGTTTTATGAATGCAATATAAAAGCATTATGAAGGTGCAGTTAATGTAAAGCGTTACCAAATAAAGTTTTATTGTTACATATGATTGGAGGGACACAGTGAAATTCTTGTGCCACAGTTGCAGGGGAGGAGACAGGTACATCAGGAGACAATAGGACGAATAGTGCAATCCGGACAACAGCCGTGCAATAAAGAACAAAACAGTTCAAGACAAGGCAGTGCAATATAAATATTAACGGACAATATATGAGTAATAAATATGACTGATGTGATTTTTTTCAATGAAAGAGCAGAAATATACACATTATAAATAAGTTAATTATTTAACAGATAGCAAACATAGCATCCATATGCTAGTCCAAGCAGTCATTTTGTATCTTTAATGTTGGGGAGTAATGGCAGATTGTTCACTTCATAACTGTGATGAGCGCTCCTCATGTCTCAGGAACTTTAATAATCTTCCAGGGATTGGCAAGGAATCGATGAGCTGCATCCTCTCGGCCCCTAACAAACTGAGAATCCTGAGTCTGCATAATTGCATTAGAGGTCGTGGAAGAACTGAAAAGTCACAAAATTTAGAAAGTGTCACATACTTGTCTGAGTTTGTAAACAGTAGGGTGAGTTTGAGCATGTAAACACTGATCCTTATTCAAACAATCAGTCTTATGCTGTTTTCTATTAATGCTAATTTGAAAATTACACTCCTTTTGATTTTTCACATTAGAGATAAAGCATACAGAATGCATCACTTTTCACATCCACACACTAAATGTTAAGCCACCAGTTCTTCAGAAACATTTCTTTCATGTGTTTGAGGAAAGTAATTAAAAAAACAGGATTGACACAAAAAAGGATTGACACAATACCATTTATATCAATATATTTCAATTGTGTGTTATAATTAGGCCTATATTAAAAATGTTGAATACTCACCAGTAGTATTGCTTCCCAGTTGTAAGCAATGTGTGAGCTGTGGTTGTGACCTTGCACAGAATTGTAGTATTCAGTTAGTTCACTTAGGGTCTCACAGGGAATTTGATGGAAGGGGAAAGGGGATGAATCATTTTTAATGGTTCATTTGATTTTAAATCACTGCAAATCGTCTCACATTATCAGGTATGCTTAGGTTTACATGTCAAATGGTATAATTCCAGAAAAACATTTACAATTCATCATAATTATAACTAAGTTAGCTTACTACGTAAAAGTATTTTTAAATGTTAGTGGTGATTTATGTGCAACTTTATTATCAAAGCTCTGTAAAGCTAGGATAAATATATAATATTAGTATATTAATATAGCCTCTTTTCTCCTAATTGGTATCACTTTCAAGCAAGGAAGTAGAGGTTTGTCACAGGGAAATGAGTGAACGCTGGTCCTGCTGCAAGGGCCATTTACCTTGGCAAAAGGTGTGAAATGTATTTTGCACACACATAGACACACAGACAGAAAGACAGATACATGGACAGACATTGGTGCTGCATTGACAGTTATGTAGATGCTGTACAGTTCTGTCGTGGTAAAGAGAGAGCTGAGCTGGACTTGGCCAGGCTCCAAGATCAAACTGTTTCTGATCAGATTGCATGCAGTTTGTGTGAGGAACTTGCAGACTTGGGTGCGACTGCGGGATCCCTTCAAAATTGCTGGACGTCATGGCCGGCCTGTACACTGTTACTTTTGTTTTAAAAAAAAAAAGGTAAACAGAAAGAAAAATAAGAATAATAATAAAGATGGGATGGAGAAAATTAAGTGTAGGGGAATACAGAATACAAACAACCATAAGAAACATAACACTTATTACAAGGACATCAAACAACAAAAATTATAACAACAACAACAATAATAATATATTAATATGTTACAAATAGGTATTATACTGTATATATGTAGCATGTCCTACACATATACATGTATATTTCAATTCCTATATCTATAACATACGCTAAAAAGAAATAATAATAAAATAATTAAAACATAATAATAAAAACCCCCAGTCTCGCCCGCCACCCCCCCACCGAGGAAAGCGGGTCCAGGGCCGAAGGGCCCCATCAACCCACCACCCTGTTAGGGGGGGTCCCTCAGCCCCCATCGCATCCCTGTCCCATGTTGGTGTGAAGTATGCATGTATATGTGTGAGATAGTTGTGTGTTTTTGTCTATAATGCATTAAAATTAGTGGGTGCAGTTCGGGTATGAGGACCCCACCGCTGGCAGATGGCAGAGTCCCCCATCCCCCTCCCCGCACCCCCAAGGCCCTAATGTAATATGGACTGTGTATATGACTAAGGTGCAAAAAGTGGGCGAGCAGTTGAGGCATGGGCACCCCACCGCTGGCAGACGGCAGAGCCCCCCCTGCCTCAACCCACCTCCTCAGCCCTAGTGTCATGTGGTGTCTAACATGCAAGTAAAAATTGAGGGGCAAAAACATGGTCACTGATTGTTATAGGGTGAATTTGTGTGTCACATATATCTTTCATGACTGTATTGCTGGTAAGAAAAAAGTCTATCTGGGAGTAAGAATGATGGACTGGCGAGAAAAACGTGTATTCTCTGAGCGTGGCGTGAAAAGTACGTCAGACATCACATAGGCCGAAATCATTCATATATTGTTTTACTGTTTCGGATGACTGGCAAGTACGGTAACTAGCTGCTGTATTACGTCTGTCAGATTCTGGGTTAAGTAATAACTTGAAGTCCCCTCCCAGTTCTGTGTCTGAGTGTGATGATATTGCAGCAAAAAGGTGGTGGAAGAAGGAGGGGTCGTCACTATTTGGACCGTATACATATCTCTTTGTTATATGTTGAAATTTTAATAATTATGAATCTTCCTTCTGGGTCTGTGATAGTGTCTTTACAGTTGAAACATATTCTTTTGTTGATTAAAATTGCTACACCCCTTTGTTTTGAATTATAACTAGCTAAATATACATGTGGAGATTCTGGTGAATTTAATGTACACTGTCCTGTTTTGGCTAAGTGAGTTTCCTGCAGTAGGACAATGTCTGCCTGTAATGTTGTTAGATATTCTAAGATTTTGTGTCTCTTAGCCAATGAGCCAATACCACGCACGTTCCAAGTGACAAAGCGTAATGAGATCATGCTGTCCTAACTTAGGCCCCCTGAGTACAATCCAAAGTTAAAATGGACGGATGTGTGCGTGTGTGAATGACTGTGTGTGTATGAGTGTGAACGTGTCAGGAGGCATGTGTGTGCGAGTGTCAATGTGTGAATGTCTCCATGTGTGATTTTAAGGTGAGGAGATCTGTCTGAGCTTCAGTGGACATGTGTATATGTGAGTTTGAGTGTATGGATGTATACCTGTATGATGTTAAGATGAGGGGGTGTGCGCTTGTTTGAGTGGGCATCTGTGTATGTGAGTGTGTGACTACCTACGTGTATGTGTAGGTGTATAGTATGTGGTAGACTACTTCCAGATAAAACATCTTTGAGCGTCAGTACCGATATGCTACAATTACCATAATAACCAAAGTGACAATGATGGAAATAACAACAACAACAACTACAATAACAATTGCGACTGTGGGGAGACATTAAACAAGGGGGTTGAGGAGCAGTAAGGGATATAAAGTGTCCCGGAATTATTAGTCCTTGACAAAGCCATCTAGTGTGCGGCGTGCACTAGAAACCTGTATTAAATGCCAAACTTTAAAGTTAGTTTGTTAAATGTGTGTTACCTTAGTCGGAAGTGACTTCAGTAGAGCCAAGTGGTGGTGTTCTGGTCGCGAAACAGTTGTCCATTAACGGACAGTCTGTCTACCGCGATGACAGCCCGGGCTCCCTCCGCAATAATTTTTTTCCTGAGTGGGAACCGGATTTTGCGACGATCCAGGATTTCTTTGGGAAATTGGTCTTTGATGCTGAAGCCCGTTCCTCTGAGCTCCCTGCCTCAGCTTTTCACCAGCTCCTTTTGTTTGAAATGTTCAAACTTGGCCACGATAGGTCTTGGATGCTGAGCTTCTTTCCTCATTCCTCCTATGCGGTGGACCCGATGAAACGTGATGTTCTTGACGGTGTCCCGAGGAAGTTGAAGTTGTTGTTGTATGAAGTTTCTGATGGTCCATCTTTCCATCTTCCTCTGCACACTCCGGAATTCCGGCGAACACTAAATAGTCCCGCAGACTTCATGCTTGAATACAGAGGAGGGACTCTTTCATGCGCTCATTTTCTGTAGAGAGTTTCGCCATACCTTCTGTGAGGGATTTTACAGAGTTTCTGTGAATTTTGTTTTCAGATGCGAGCAATTCATCCTGCTGTTGACTGTACTCCAGAGATTCCCGCAGTGCTTGAAATTCCATGTGTAGGATTTCTACCAGTGCCAGTCGGGCGTCAAAACTGGTAAGTTTGTTATTAATAGAGTCTAGGATATTTCCATATTCCTTATCCGGCGACGAAGGGCTGTTCTATTTGTGGATGGAGTCGCTTGGTTCTTCTTCATGATGAGTCGCTCGTAACACTCGTCCAAGTAATCCTATAGATCTTCTAAGGTTTCTTCATCCAGGATGTAATGAGTGAACTTATCTATCCGATAAAGTAATATAGATACTATTATTATTATTATTATTATTATTTTGGCTTGGTTAGGCTGGCTATCGAAGTAAGATTTGTTTGTTTTTAGTAGGGGGCTGCCATGTTGGATTTCGCACAGCTCTCGCGAGATCTCACAACACTCTCACAGGATACTCAGCTGGTACTGTGAGTACTGTGCAGAGTGGAGGGAGAACTTCCGCATTCTTCCCAGTTGATTCTGGGGTTCTCCATTGGTGTGTTCTTGCTCCTACTCTGTTCAATGCTTGTATGGAATGGGTATTGGGCAGGGTCGTGGGGACCAGCAGTTGTTGATGACGAAAGATTTACTGATCTTGACTTTGCTGACGATGCTGTGATCTTAGTGGAGTCAATGATCCGGGCTCTTGAGAGACTGAGCGAGGAGTCTGAGTATCTGGGATTGTGGGTGTCCTGGATAAAGACCAAGATCCCGGCATTTAATGACTTCTTAGGCACAGCCATCAGTAGTGTGTCTGTCTGCGGGGGGGATGTTGACCTTCTCAAGAGATTTACTTACCTTGGCAGCGACATTCATGTCTCTGGTGACTCTTCCTATGAAGTCAACAGACAGATTGGGAGAGCATGGGAGGTCATTAGGTCACTGGTGTGTGGTGTTCCTGATATCTTTGCAAGAGGACAAAGATTCAAGTCTTTAGAGTCCTTGTGCTCCCTGTCTTGCTGTATGGCTGTGAGACATGGACACTATCCAGTGTCCAAGCAGCTGGACCAGGCCAAGGGGATGCCCATGTAACACCTGGCTGCGGCAGATGGATGGCCATTTCAGGATTGTGGTATTGGACCGTGTGTCTGCCAGGGGGGTCGCCAGCCGGAATCCCGAGGAGTTTTGCCATGTGATGGGTGCGGCAACGCACTACATCGGTGCATGCTCCCCAACCTGACTTGACCTGACCTGAGCTGTTAGGTGAATCTGTTGATTTACTAGTCAGTCTGGCTTCCTACCCTCAACTATGCTCACAGACTGTGGGTAGTGAGCAAAAGAATGTGATCGTGGATGCAGAAATGAGTTTCCTTTGCAGGGTGTCTGGGCTCAGCCTTAGAGATAGGGTAAAGAGCTTGGACATCTGGAAGGGACTGAAAGGCATGACCAACTGGGAGGAGACCCCGTGGCAGACATGGTCAAGTGCTGGTTTATGTCAACCTGAGTAAGCTTACGCAGGTTGACATAAACCAGCACTTGACCATGTCTGTCACGGGGTCTCCTCCCAGTTGGTCATGCCTGAAGCACCTCCCTGTACAAGAAAAATTATGTAGAATAAAATGTATTAGCTATTGCAGGGTAATAATGTTTTTTAACAGATTTTGCATTTGTGAAAGATTATTTGGATAACAGATGTATTTACAGCATGTAACCCCCATTTTTAGGCTGCGTTTAAAGGTGCGAGACTCCATGCATCCATCCATCCATTAATCCCCACTGGGGTTGCGGGGGGAGTCTATCCCGGGAACCAACCCTATGCAGGCGCCAACACACCACAGAGCACATACACTCTCAAAACTACAGGGCCAATTTAGGCACATCAATCAGCCTTCCCTGCACACTTTTGGACTGTGGAAGGACACCGGAACCCCCAGAAAAAACATGTAAACTCCACACAGAAAGGACCCAGGATCAAACCCAGGACCTTCTTGCTGTGAGACAGCAGTGCTAATCACCACACCGCCCAACTCCATCCATAACCATGTAATATTTTTGTATTGTTGAGCAAAAGTGCTCAATAATTCTTGTGTTACATGGGTATGTTAGTACCAAAGGTGCTGCTGTAGATTAGTATATTTGTGTCAGTCATTGCAAGAGCGTTACTTGATAACTTGCAGTTCAGTTTTCCCCCTTGTATTTTAAAGCAGCCTTAGTCGGTAATACTGTTGAAAGTATTTTTCTTTACTGCTGTATGCTGTTAAGGCAAGTTATGTGTTTCTTTCTTTTATTACAGATTATTTTATTTCCAGGAGCTGTTCACATCTTTTACAGATTGGTATGTGCGTGTAAAGTGAGTAATAACATACAGTATGTAACTCATTTTATGTATTTTCTAATGAAGGGTTGGTGGTATTCTGATGTTGTTGTTTTATCTTAGAGTGACTCTTTTTATTTTTATTTTTGTTTTTATTGTACATTTGATTTTGTATTGCATTTGTATTGCATTGTCACTGCACAGCATGGCCGTGATGTCACAATTTTTTTTTGCCATATCATTTTTATTGTATGTTTGATTTTGATCATATGGGCGCTGACCCTGACATGCATACATGAGATTTATTGCAAATTTAATTTCGCTTTTGTATTGCATAAACTTGCGTAAACAAGTGTGAATTCAACAGATTTCTTTGTTTCCTGGAAAAGCCTTTTATTTTGGCAGTTAAATACTGTATGTACCAGATACAGGGAATGTACAGAAAGGACCCATATTTGTATGCGTCTGGAGCATGATTTCCCCAGCCACATTAAAATGAAGTAATTATTTTTTTGAGTATACTTACACTCTAGATGGCTAAAATATTTGGCATTTCTTATTCTTTTGTGGTTATACCATTTGACATTTTCAGGTGCATTCAGTATTACCTTTTGTAAAATAATGGTGCAAATTCATTTCAAATGACATAAAACTAACATATGAAATGTACATTTTAACCTAATGCGTGCTTTTAAAACAAGTTTTTAAAAGATTTTTGAATTTCTCATGTTGCCAACCCTTATCTCTGACCCATTGGCAATTTATTTTTGTCTTTATTCTGAGACTTCTGTTTGGAATAAAGAAAAAGTACTGAATAGCTGTATTTTTGCAAACAGCAATTAAGGCGCTGTTTTCGCATTTCATTTCGACCAAATATTGTTCTAATAAAACTGTTATTGATATCTCACATGTGGTTTTGTTTTAAAACTGACCATTTAGCACACTTCATATAAAATATTGTATATCACTATTTTGTCTAAAAATACCAAGACACAGTTTTTGACCACCGAACCCTACGGACTATACCGAGGAGATGAGTGACATACAGTTTCCCTCATCACTAAGCAAGATCTGTGTGTTTTTTTTTTTTATGTGATAACCAGATTAATGTGTTTACGTGTATTTTTAATAACCAGATTCCTCCGCTTACCCAATTTGTTCTGTATTTGGGTTACTATAACTCATCTGATTTCCCTATGAGTTGCTAAATGAATGGTTTGAATTTAGCTGTGAATTCTGGGACTCTGAAACATATCATTCACAGCTCTTGCACTGTTTACAACAAGGAAGGAATTGATATCTATTCAGAAAAGGGCGATAACTTACAGTCAATAAAAGTATATGAAGTATCATCCTACAGTAAATCTCTTTTTGAAAATATATCAATATACCATAAACATTTAATATACCACCCAGCTGTAATGTTCCAGTTTGTTTCACTGTACCTCGGAAACTTCAGCTGTATTTTGGCTTCTATTTTGTTATGGCTCTTTTCCATTGTGTTGTGAGTGGACTTGCAGCATTTATTATAATTTTTTTTGTATATGTTTTCAGACTTTGTGTTGTCTGAATTTGCAACATGTTGACACTTTTTGGCCACTGTATAAGTACAATACTGTATATATATTTTATACACTGCCTGGCCAAAAAAAAGCTGCACAGTTTAATATTTTGTTGGACTGCCTTTAAGTTTGATCATGGTGCACATTCATTAATGCATTGTTTCCATGTGTTTATGCCCAATTACACTCTTTAACAGTTCGAGCCCTGTGAAACTTGGCATTATCATCCCGGAATATGCCCATGCCCTTAGGAAAGAAAAAATCCAAAGATGGATTAACCTGGCCATTCAGTAGATTCAGGTGACTTCACCTTATTGTTGCATAATGTTGCTAAGCTATAATAAATATGCTATCATTGGCTTTTAAGTACCTGCTGATTTTAATTCTTTTTTTTTTGGCCAAGAAGTATATATAAATGGCCTGGTGCACATGCTGCTCTGGTGAGAAGTGATAAATGTAATATTACAAGTGGTTAAATGTCAGTTTCTGCAAGGACCTAATGAATGATTTAAAAAGCATAATAAAATAATGGGTGATTTTGACATGCTTACTTGATTTCTCCTTGATAACACCCCAGTCCTCATAGCTATCCAGATGCTCTATCAGCCTGGCACACAGCTGCACATTGCCAACATAATCCAGGAGGACATCAATGATGGGTCCTGCCCAGCGACTCACTGAAGGCGTGGAAATCATCTCACAGAACTGAGGGTGAAAGGCAAACAACATGGCGTTTAATTTGTCTCATGGCCTGCACACATAAGTAGAAAACCCATCCTCTTTATGGGCTCATGTCTGCACAACACTTGCTCGCTCGGTGTTAATTTAGTCTCAAAATCCATCCTCTCTATGCACTCACTAGACCATCACAATGTGCTCATATCTGCATAACACTCGCTCGCTCGACAGGGTGAGTTTTGAGACTTCGGAAGTAGGAACAATGGCTGATTTCTCCACTTCATTGATTGGTCACTTTGAATCCTGTGATTGGCTGTTTGCTTTGGAAGAAGATGAAGAAGATGATCACTGGCCAGTCAATGAGAGAACAGTCAGTTTCATGATATCGGAGCAAGGAAATCTTACACTAAGTTAACATGTTTCAGAGATCCTATTTTAATATTGCATGTTTGAGGTGGTACCTTAACAAACATTAAATTATTAAAAGGGAGAAATGATCATAAACAAACCATTGCTAAATGATTACTAAACCTGTAGTTAATGATGAACAAATCATGTTCAAATTCTTAGACATTTACAAGCAATAAGCATGTAGTTAAGGGTAACCCTAATTATTTACCAAACCTTAAACATTTATAAATGATTATAATGGGGAAATGATAGTTAAATCTATTTGTACAATCAATAGCTCTTTCCCATTTTACATGTGTTTTTTTTTTGCGGCATTCAAATCCAACGCCAAAGCTGCCCCTCAGTCTTTTGTGCTACTCAGTGGGTGTGAGTTCAGTGACTTCCGCCTGCTGTGACGTCATGCGCATACCCTTCGCAGTACGAGTAGCGTAAGGTAAGACGTGACGATCTGGGAGTATTTGTACTAAGATGTGTAACCAGCATTATTATTAAATATTACAAATGTGATTGTCAGAAAATCTATGCAAACCTCTAATTAGGTTTTCAAAATAGACCCTATTAACCTTCCTCCCCCATAGGTCCATCCCTGACAGACAGGCTACATGTTAACGCTAAGGGTTAGTATGTGGCCTATTTGTCAGGGATGCACCTATGGGTTAGATAATGTTAATGTATAAAAATAATAACCTCTAAATTAGGGCTGCACGATTAATCGATTTCAAATCGAAATCGCGATTTGAAACAACGCGATTAGCAAGTCGCAAAAATCGCAATTTAGGATATACATTATACAGCACGTCGGATCCAGGGTTTAAAACTGCTGTGAGAATAGTTTTACAAATTCATGCCATGCTCCCTGTGTGACAGTCATTCTCACCAATCACAAGCACTGTGCTTCTCGCCTGCCAGTCATGTTCACCAATCAGAAGTGGCCCAAGAAGGCGTACAGACCCACAAACAGCAAACACTTGAAACCCAAGGAAAATGTTACATTCGCGGTACGGAAAAATACTGATTCTGCTACTGGGCTATAAGTGAATTGCCTTCCTATTTCATGGTCCGAGATTGTTTCAGAAAGGTCCTATCATCAATTGAATCGGCGAGCTCCTTTTAAACACCAGCTGCAATATACTTCAGCGTATCATACCTTTGGTTTTTGTTAATAGGCAATAGCATTAGTATACCGCTAACCCATCAAAACAACATTGAGAGTCAGTAATTCTTTCAGCAGCGGAGTCGGTGACCCCCAAAAAAAGCCATAAAACCCATAATACAGTGGTGTTTATGTCATATGTTTTTGTGCTTATTAAATTAAAGTGTTTCAAAAGATTAATCCAACAACAGTAATAAAATAAAAGTCTTGCTTTAACATAAATACTAAAAGAATAGATCGCTTTAATCGCTATTACAGTTGGGTATGGGCACGCGGTCTTATTTAGAAAACATACAAAAAGCGACGCATATAATGTTTAATCATTTGTTTTGTATTTGTCCGAGTAACAATGCAAAGGAATGATAAGCTGCTTCGGTCGAAAACTGCATTTTACTTCTCATTTAAAATAAAATGCAGGGTTGGCAACTTCGGTCAGCTGCATGTTAGATTTTCTGTTCTCTGTTCTGCACACACATTTACATGTATGCAAGTTTTATTACCTTCTAAATAGTCTGTATACTGTGCATAGGGTTTGCAAACTGCCGTAACGTTTTTGATGCAGCTATAGTTTTAAGTTCAGAATGGAATATAGATTTGCCGTCTGAAAGAGTTTGCAACCATGAACACGTATTTTTTGTTTCACCTAAATTGATTTGTATAGAAAATAACGTATACAGTTGTTAAAAAGCGGAAACTTCGACCAACGTGAAATCACCAATAAACGACTAATATTTATTCAACATTTTATAAAATGCATACTACGATTAAAAATTTCTAGCTTTACGGTTTCAGGACAGAACAGCCATGCACTCTGTTATGAACATTATGGTTTTTTGAGTGTTATTATAGTGTTAATAACAGCAGCTAACAACACAATAGCGCAAACAAAAGGGCTGCATACACCGAAGTAGTTCTTGCATGTTCATTGGCGTGGGAAAAGGCGGTTCTAGTGTTATTAGGAGGGTAATAAGCGTTACCTGCAAGATCGCTATTTTTCTTTTTGCTGCAATTGTTTTCATTATTACTTTATTTAACTTGACACATCACATCTTTAAATTCTCATCCTTGCATTAGAATACAGACCAGTTAATACTGATGGTATCTCATGCTGCGTCATATGTTTTAAAATTACTACACACTGAATACTGAACTGAAGCTTGACATTTAAAAAATTAAATCGCAAATCAAATCGTAATCGCAATTTCTGTCAGAAAAATCACGATTCGATATTTTCCCCAAATCGTGCAGCCCTAGTTTATACTTTATTTTAATGATATTCTAAGTAACTCTGATTAAGGGCGATGAAAAAATGGGGGTGGGGGGGATCCTGTTTTGTTCAACTGCTGTTTACAAATTCAGCGTTTTATAGTTTTTTACAATTGCTAGAACACTAACCTGACACTCAGAGCTTTCTCTGATTTAGAGAAAAATTCAGAAAGACTCAAATATCTAAGGCATGATTATGTGGAAGTTAGTATCAGACTGACTACAGGATACTACATACAGCATAGCATTTTCCCAGTACTAAACTAAACCATATTCACTGTATTTTTTTCTGTAAGAGAGTGCTGGAAATGGGTTTGAATGTGATCCCACATGAGTTTATTTTCATTGATGAGGCTGGCTTCAACCTCACCAAAACCAGGAGAAGGGGAAGAAGCATCATTGCCACAGAGTCATTGTGGATGTTCCTGCCCTACATGGGGGAAACATGCCATCACAAACAATGAAGCTCTCCACCACCTTGCTAATCTTGGTCCATACAACACAGACCGTATCCTGAAGTATTTGGACAGATTGTGCAACACTGTACTACAGGCAGACCACATGGATGTTGAAGGGCAGAACAGATATGTAGTAGTGTGGGACAATGTGAGTTTCATCATGCAGCCTTTGTTCAAAATTGGCTTGTTAACAGACCACAGTTTACAGTCCTTTACCTTTCCCCATACTCTCCATTTCTAAGCCCCATAGTTGAGTTCCTTTCGGCATGGCAGTGGAAGGTTTATGACCATCAACCCCATGTGCATCAGAGCCTACTTCAGGCAATGGAGGAGGCATGTGAAGAAATTGATGTGGGTGCTGTCAAGGGGTGGATAAGACACTCCAGGTGCTTCTTTCCTCACTGTCTAGCGATATCACCTGTGATGCGGCTGAGGTGCGTTAGTCAGACCCAGCTAGACAAGATGCTGTATATTTTTTTCCTTTTTTGTATAGTTTTTTTTTCGTCAATGGTTTTCTTTTTTGTTTTCCAAAAGCTGGGATTGCTGTAGAAAGTGCCATACATTTTTGTGTTATTAGCTGTGGATTGAATTAGAAGTTTTTTTTCAGTCAAATTTGTTTATGCACATACTGTATGTCTGTAAACTTGAACACTTTCTATTTCTACAGTTCTCAGCATAGACAGGAATGGTAATCCATAAAAAGTGTTTTTGATTACACATAGCAGTGTTTAGGTGGATAGAGAAAAAAAATAGGCATGGGAATGAAGTGTTTACTATTAGGTGCAAAAGTTTGGTTTTACTAAATAATTATATTGTTTTGAATGCATCACTTCATTTTGCTGGATATGTGAGGTGTTTTGCTGTTCAGGTTTGTGGTTTTGTAAATTGTATTAATTAATTTGAAAAAATGAGCCCTGATTGCAAAATTGTGCTTAAGCAATTGTAAAAAACTGTAAAAGAACACATAAAAATAGAAACACCTTATCGTGTTTGTACCGGTACCGTGACCATAAAACAATAGATTTAAACTATTATGCTGTAAATTTGTGAGTAAAGTGTTGCGGTTGAAAAGTATGTGGCAAAGTAAGGGAACAGCGACCCGAGACCCAAGAGTTTAAGGTGAAAGTTTTACCGTGGCCTTCCCAGTCTCCAGACTTGAATATAATAGAAATCCTGTGGATCAATTTAAAGAGGGCCATACACGGAAGACAGCCAAGCAATGTGGTACACTTGGAAGAAATATGTCAGGAAGAATGGGCTAAAATTACACCTGAGAGGATACAAAAGCTGCTCGGAAGTTACCAAAAGAGGTTGGAGGAGGCTATAAAGGAAAAGGGAGGACATACAAAGTATTAGAGAACAGGGGATGCAAACTTATGGAATGATGCTATTTTCATTATTTCAGTATCACTTTCTTTTTACTGTATATATTCTTTGGTCATTTTTGTGACTTTTGATGTTGCAGGAACATTTGTAAAACTGACCATGCATTAAATATTGTGTTGATGAATGTTCTTTTCTTTGTTTTATTCCTTTTGTCTTTTCAAAGTAAGGGGATGCAACTTTTGCACTCAAATGTGTGTGTATGTATGCATATAAAATTGATATTAATGCATTTTGTAATGCATATTATATGCTTAGCTCAACAAAGTGGAATTTGAGCCACTGGGCTGAGTAAAACGTTTCTTAACAAAGTGATTTGTTTTCTGTGACTAATATAGCCAATAATTATGATTTCCATCACTGTGCTGTACATATGTTTTCATTCATATCTTAAATGGAATGGAATCTGTACATGGGCAGCTGTGCCATACACAGCATGCAATCTGAGATCTTACCTGCACTGGAATGTAGTTCTGCACATCAACATTGTAGCGTATGTCATCCCTGGGTCTGTGTAAGGTCTCGATCGGAGGATGTGGGCCACTGCCGTACTCACACTGGAAGCAGGACTGGGCATCGCACCCATTATCCAGCAGGTACTTGAGCAGGGTCAGGTACTTCATGCAGAACATAATGGCAGCGGGGAAGGAGGTGGGGTGGGTGGGGATGTAGGCATTGACATTGGCCCCATGCTCTACCAGCAAAGTGACTGTCCGTATGCAGCCCTGACGCACGGCGATCAGCAGGGGGTTAAACGTGTCCAGGTTGGGGTTGGCACCAGCTTCTAGGAGCATAGTGGCAGCTTCAGTGTTGTTGTTGCAGATGGCAAAGTAGAGGGCGGTGCTGCGGCGGTCCTCGTGCATCTTGGAGCGGTCAGGGGACAACATGGCGTTGACATCAAAGCCTGCCTCTATGAGAGTCTCCAGGACCTCATTCTTGTTACGTTCTGCAGCGAGGTGAAGGGGACTGATCCCACTACGCCGCACCCGGGCCTTGCTAGTGACCGGGATCAGGATGGACACAATTCTGTTTGGAGAAGAGAGGAGCTGAGGAATCAAGCTTTTAAATAATGACCAGTGTCATGTCCAGATGATTCTCATAGGGGCCACACTTTCATACACAGACTTTCAGACATCCCACCTTATCATACTTATTCTAGATGCAAATGCACCACCACACACAGCTCTGGTGACATCATTTTTGTCACCGAGGTCGGGTTCAGAGACTATATGTGAGGGAGCATACAACTCAAAAATTCTTATTTTTAATATATCATCCACACCAAACTTCATAAATGTGAATTAAGAGCAGCTTTGCTCTACTGCGCTACCCTAGGCCTTGCATCAAAATATACAGTCGCCTGGCAAGTTGGCGCAAGACACATGAATATTCAGGAACATGTATGGTCCCCCAGCCTGCACCAGCCTTTAGGCATACTGATTTCAGGAAATGAGTGAGGGAGAACACCCCAGCCATGAAATGAGTGAAAGAAGTAACATGTCAAAATAGGTGGTAGGTGCTTATGGCAAAACATGCAATACACTGTGATACACTGCACATCATTCACACATGTCAGGCAGCTGCTGTCAATTTATAGCAGATTCCCAGAACTTCCGGGAGAGGTGCGATATCTGGACATTCAGGTGATATTTCTTGATCTGCTACCCAGGTTCTATTGGGCTCAGTTGTGCTAGGCCAAGACATTTCTTTTAGATTATGTTTAATCTCCATTACTGAAGTTTTTGTTATCATATTAATCCTAGATTTGACTGTAAAGGGCAAACTCTATACACACTTCACTCAAAGCCATACAGAAGTGGACATTTCAGGTCCAGAAAGTAAAAATCCAAACCAGGATTTTGTTTCAACCAACCAGTTGAGTACTCTGTGACTGTAACTCATTATACTCAACTGGTTGGTTGAAACAAAATCCACCTCTGAAGCGGTAAACCTGTGTGTGAGTTACCGTGCTTCCCAAAACAGTTGCACTTTAATTTATATATATCTAATTTGTGTTATTCCTAAACATTTTACTCTAAGTATACTGTTAGCTCTGTACCTTTCATTTCCACGTTTGGCAGCTATATGCAGTGGAAGCAGTCCCCCTCTGGTACATATGTTAGCATTAGCATTTCGTGATAGCAAAATTTTCACAACCTCTTCATGGCCGTTCTTGCTAGACTCATAGAGAGCTGTGGCTCCATCAGCTGCGTGGCTGTTCACATCCGCGCCTGAAACAAACAGGACAGTAATGGTGTGATAATGGGGAACAATTTGTTTGTGGGGAACGAGTGCCTTACAGGAACTATACACATGTTCTTTTTTTTCTTCTCCTTGTCCTCAGAAATGTGACTTGAAAGCTGCTTCTTTCTTTAGCTATGGCCAGTGAGAGCCAGTGAGGCATGTACTATAAGGGTGTGCTGTAAACAAGCATATGATTGACTAGAAGCTAAAGCTACAACTGAATTTACAGTATATACCTCTATAGAATGAATGAGAACTGTAAACAAGAGACTCCCTCTCTCAATGCCAAACCGCACAATGAATGGGCTCCTCCGCCAAACAGGAGAGATTCTGGACTAGCATCGGTGTGTATATTTACCATGCCTTATGAGGAAGCGCAACACTTTGACACATCCTCCCTGTGCAGCTGCAAAGAGAGGAGTGATGCCATATTTGTTGGGGATGCTGATGTCGGCCCCGGCCTCCAGTAGAGCGTGACAAATCTCCAGGTTGTCACGCCACACGGCTTCATGCAGAGCTGTGCAGCCCTGCCGGCAGATTTTGTTCACCTTGCCTTTGAACTTCAGGATCAGCTGCACAATGTCCAGATTCTGTCTTTCACAGGCTATGTGGGTGAAACATTATGGGCTAACAGAATTGCCATGATCAGAAATTAGCAATCAGTTCAGACATCCAGGCAGAAAAACAACTGGTCATGCAATTCATGTTACTTAATATTGCACTCAGTAATCATGGTATGACTAACTATTCATCAGTGTAATCATTATGCGCTTTTCCTTTCCCTTCTGTCTCCGGCTTAGGGGCTTAGATACACCCAGGGGTGGAGATTGCAGGTGCAGAGAGTTTGTTTCAAGCAACCAGTTGAGTATAAAGATTCACACTCAAAAAAGTACTGAACTGGTTGGTTGAAACAAAATATTGGTCTGGATTTGTACTCTCTGGACCTGAAATCTCCACCCCTGGATGCACTATATTACCAAAAGTATTGGGAACACCTTTGGGATGAATTATAACAGCGACTACGAGCCAGGCCTTCTTATCAAACATCAGTGCCTGACCTCACAAATGCTCTCCTGGAAGAATGGTCAGAAATTCCCATAAACACACTCCTAAACCTTGTCGACAGCCTCCCCAGAAGAGTTGAAGCTGTTGTAGCTGCAAAGGGTGGGCCAACTTCATATTAATAATAATAATAATTGATACTTTATTGATCCCCACAGGGAAATTGTCTTTACACCTCCCTCAACTTCCTCTTTGTAGAGTAAGCTGTCCGCGAAGGGCTGCCACCCAGGGAGCTGGAGATTAAGGGCCTTGCTCAAGGACCTGCAGATGTGCTGAGGCAAGGTTTGAACCAGTGACCTGCTGATTACAGACACACATAATGGGATGTCATTAAAGTTCATGTGTGTGTAAAGGCAGGTGTCCGAATACTTTTGGCAATATAGTGTATAAGACCATTGAACAAGATGATAGAATCCAGTGTACTGGGTTCTTACCTCTAACAGCTGGATCCTTAACTGGAAACACCCCTAGTTGCTATTATCTCTCATTAAAATATTGAATGTATTCAGTACAATTCCATTTGTCACTTTGCTTTTATATATAACAATTTCCAGAAGCAGTAATACAGTTTTTCTGAATTGCTAAAACACATTTCCTCAATTCTTCACTCTCTTTCTCAAGACACTAAGCACAAACACTGAAATTCAAGCTACATACACAAAACCTTTGACTCATCTTGCAAAATCCGTCTTCTCAGATCAATATTCCAGTTTTTCTTGATTGCTTTGACCTGCTTAAAGAAACTGGGATCCACTCAGTTTTCATCATCACTATCTCAGCAGAGCATAAGACACCTCTTGCAAATGTGTTAAACCCTGTCTCATTGGATTAATACATTTACCCCACCCTTTTGCAAAACAATTAACACGGATGTCATTCAAGCAGTCTAAACTCCATTGTTTTAGCTATGGTAACCAAACAAAAATCACCTATTCCTAACTATTAGAAACAGGGGCGGATTAACGCACAGGCTAGATATGGCTTAAGCCTAGGGGCCCCACGTGTGCCAGCCTGCAAGGGGGCCCCCATTGGCGCGGAGGGGGGTGGGGTTGGGGGGCCCACAGACCACTGTAGCCTAGGGGCCTCTGTACACCTTAATCCGCCCCTGATTAGAAACTACCTAGATCAGTATGAAATCACTGAAGCACCTGTTTGACACCCATTCTTGACACAAATCTTCAATTAGCAATCAGTCTGCAGGCCTTAAAAGGTGCCACGTCTGTGTTGCTCTTTACCAGCATGGATGGAGGAGGTCTAAGGCAGATGAGAGTGAGAGTAAGAGGTAGAGGGGTCCGAGGAAGAGGAGTCCGTGTGCGTGGTGGAGGTGTAGTTGGAAGGGCTCAAGTTTCAGAAGAAATTCGGGCAACTGTTATTGATCACGTTATGAATCATGGCCTTTCACTTAGAGAGGCTGGACAAAGAGTACAACCTGTTCTAAACAGAAACACTGTTGCATGCATTGTCAGAATTTTTCAACAGGATAACAGGTAATCTTGCTGTATAGTATATACAGAAATATCTTCAGTGATATACTTTATGTAATTGTTTCCTCATTCCCATTACATGTATTCTTTATAGAATCCAAAGGCTGCCATTCTCTGGCGGTAGAGGGAAAATTTTTAGTGCTGAGCAGGAGGCAGCCGTTGTGAATATGGTTGTGGCAAACAATGCCATAAGGCTACGTGAAATCAGGGCAGCAGTGCTCGCAGATGAGGGCATATTTAGGGTGAAACCAGGGCAGCAGTGCTCGCAGATCAGGGCATATTTAGGAACATCAACAACGTGAACCTGACCACCATTGACCGCGTCCTAAGAAGCAATCATATGGCCATGAAGCAGCTCTACAGAGTTCCATTTCAAAGAACTCTGATGTTGTGAAGGAGGCCAGATGCCAATATGTGGAGGTAAGGAAACATTACTATACTGTAATGCCTTGTCATATCATGCAGTTAGAGTCAACTGGAGTCACTTTTCATTGTAATTTTGCCTTTTTTTACTTAGAGAATAATGGAGCTTGAAGCTGAGGGGGCACATCATGTCTTCATTTATGTTGATGAAGTTGGCTTCAATCTCTGTAAAGTGAGGAGACATGGAAGGAACCTCATTGGGTATAGGGCCACTTGCACAGTTCCAGGACAGAGGGGCCCCAACATAACCATGTGTGCTGCCATCTCCAATGATGGTGTCCTATGCCATATCCCCACTATTGGCCCATACAACACCGAACGCCTCATAACATTCCTGAATGCACTTCATGAGAGGCTGATCCCACCTGGGGGGACAGGGCTGCTGAAGCCTGGCATGCCACTCTTCGTCATTATCTGGGATAATGTGGCGTTCCACCACTCTGGCCTTGTCAATGAGTGGTTTGCAGTACATCCTCGTATGATGATGCAGTTCATCCCAGCATATTCCCCATTTTTGAATCCCATAGAGGAGTTCTTCAGTGCTTGGAGGTGGAAGGTTTATGATCACCAACCCTATGAGCAGATGCCCTTGCTGAATGCAATGACTGCTGCTGCCCAAGAAATAGGTGCAGAGGAATGTCAAGGTTGGATATGGCATGCAAGAAGGTTTTACCCTGGGTGCAAGAGAGGATATGTAATAGGCTACAATGACAAGTAATGGTGCACTGATTCGCACTGAGTGCTGTATTTTGTATTTTGTTATCCATTGTGTAATAATTGATTGGAAGAGCTCATACACTTGTTTGCAAGTTGTGTTGTTTGAAGGCAAAATTTGCTTTTATTTCATATTTTAAATGTTTTGGCACGGTTAGAGCCTTTTGCAAACAAAATGTGTTAACTGTTTTGAAAATGGAAACCAAAAGGCTACAATAAAAAAAAAAAGCTTTGTCTATCAAACATGTTTGTAAACAATTATACTACGGTTTTTCTGAATTGCGAAAATACATTTCCTAAAATCTCTCCTTTTCTTGAAACACTAAGCACAAACCCTAAAATTCATCGACACTCACAAAACCTCTGACTCATCTTGCAAAATCAAACATTCTTCCCAAAACCATATTATCTTTGTTCAAAAGCAAACACTACTTACTTACTTACTAAACTTATATGGAATTTTTGCAGCATTCAGTACTCCAAAAAAGTTACTGTAAAGGACAAAGAAAAAAAATCCAGATGAGGCATGTTACAGTAAAATGTTGTGCAACTGCCAAGAAAGAGTAAAGGAAGATTATTCATTCTGCCTCATCATCACGTCTCAGGGCTGGGTCAGGACAGAGAACTTTGTCTACATCACAGAAAATGCTCTCTCTTGCTGGGTGATGCGCTTTTGTAACTCACCTGTGGTACTTGCCCTCTCATTGGGCATGTATTCTATGTTCTAATCACTCTTTGATTTCTTCTCATATTTAGAAATATGTGTGACCAATTTTGAGTCATTGTGTTTAAATGATGACTACTGTGTTTTCTATCTTGCATCAAAGTTCACCATGCTGCAAAGTGTGTTTTAAGAAATGAGAATGTGTTTATAGTTTTGCAAAAAGGGTGACTCAGATCTGTGTCTAACTACAGTTGTGTTCAAAATTATTCAACCCCCAATGCTGTAAAGGGTTTTAGGGAATTCAGTGTACATTTGTAATTGTGTTCAGAATGAAATCTTACAAGGACTTTTTAAAGAACCAAATGCAACTAAAATGACATCAATTGTTTTTGTAATACAGTATTAAATGTTTTTTTTGTGATTTCTTCATTGACACAATTATTCAACCCCTTAAAGACTACCACTCTTAAGAACAGAGGTTCATTCAAGTGTTTTCGATCAGGAATTGAAAACACCTGTGGATGTCAACGAGCAGCAATCAAGCATAATAAGCACCAAATAGGCAGATTTAAAATGACTGTGAT